AAAATGGCTGGACATTTGACCCTCTACTAGTTTTTGATTCAGCATGGAACTAGGCCTAGCAGGGCCACGCTTAAGGAAGGTGGTTGTATTTCCGAGCAGAATTTGCTGAAAATTAGTCTTTGAACTAATCTGAATATATAACCATGGCCAACATATCATGCAGAAGTTAAATTCTATGCACATTTCAGGGGCGGATCCAGAGATGTCCAAAGGGGGAGGGGGAAAATTTGGGCCGATCGAGACAACAATGTCCTAGGGGGTCCGCGAAATTTTTGTGTTCTAAGAAAGTATAATACATACTCCAAGTATTGAAATACACGCCATCGTGTTGAGATTCAATATTTCGACATTAATTATGTCATCATCATTCCTGATGATGACATAATTAATGTCGAAATATTGAATCCCAACACGATGGCGTGTATTTCAATACTTGGAGTATGTATTATACTTTCTTTTGTGTTCTAGACGCCCGAAAATAACATTTGAGGCATTGTGGGCTATCATTTATTTCTTTTTTCTTTTTTTTTCCTCCCAAAAGCTGGGGGAGGGGGGGCCGTGGCCATTTTCCGCGCAAATTTGAGGTAGTTTTTGAGGTATCATCCACATTTCCACGACGTATAAACTTGCATTTTAGTAATTATAGTAATAATAATACTGTAGTAGGGCCTAGTAGTATTAGCAGTAGTATTAGTAGTAGGGCCTGACAGTTCCATGGATTTAATCATTAACATGTAAATTAATGTACTTTATTTAAAATAGTGTTGTTTGTTTGTCTAATGTTTGAAATAATTATTATAGTTTGTATGACTAGGCCTAAACTAGGGGCCTAGGCCTAGGTCGCGCCAGGCAGTAGAGTAGTAGTATTCTGTATTCTCTACGCTAGGCTATGCCTACACAGGTAAGACAAGTTGGTAACAAACCTATTTAACGCCACTTCTAAAATCATCACTTCCAAGACTTCCTTATCCAAACCAGCAAACATATCTTTTTGAAAGATTCATTCTTCATCCAGTAGCACCACTTTTTTTTTCGGGCCCAGTTCACAAGCCTCGTTTTCGAATACCGCGCTCCAAAATCGAGTGACGTCACCGTCATTGTGGTCGCCCATCCCTCTATTTTATATTAAATATTAATCATTTCATTCCCTCAACCTCCTTAAAATTAATAAAATATTTTATAGTAACAATTTTAATGTTTATATTTGGAAATTTTTTTTTATATATTAATTATTATATTTTTGTGGTAGTTTTATTTATGTATTTTGTAATTATATTATCATGTTTGTAAGTTAATGTCCCAATTCAGTTACATTATTATGTTTTATTAGTATTAAGTGTACAGAAATAAGTGACTCATTGTATTGTATTTAAGTTGAATGCACCACCCTTGAGTGCCGCCCATCTAAAGGCGTATGTTCACAAAGTAAATAAAATAAATATATTAATTCTGTTTTTGTTATCTGTGATGACATTTCTTTTTGATGTTTAATAAAAGGTGATGTTGTTGATGATGATAATAATATAAACAAATAACAATAGGTAATGTATTAAACAATATTCTGTTGGTAAATAAATTACGTGCATCATTTTTAAAAATTCGTTATAAAATAAATATTCTGTCAATTTGTATTTTCTGTAGGACTAGAAGTCTGGAGAGTTCATACATTGTCCTTTAATCTTCCCTCGTTACTATGGCTGCAGAGGTTGCAAATGTTGTAAATAGATGTGAAAGTGGAAAGGAGAGTTGGTCTTTAGGTATTCACACTCAAGTACAGTATATCTTTCCAGGAAATATTAATGTTTGTTTGACATTAAAATTTTTAAAATGTCTTCCATGATCATAGGATAGTTTATATAATTCATAATATAAAAATATGAAGTGTAATTGTTATAAATTACTATGTGTCTAAAGGACCATCTTAGTAATGATAAAAAATGTTACAGGGTTGGCAACAGCTAGGGACATTCACCATTACTGAGCCTATAAATAGATTGGTGCTAAAAAAGAATTTGTTGCCACATTTTTAGAAGCTTATTTAATAAAAAGTATATAACTTTCCAAAGTAAAAATAAAAATTATAAATATGTTTGCTTTTTTAAATTGTGGTAGATTTATCAAATTGTGGCTTGAAGAGTGTTCCAGATGCGATTTTTCATCTGATGCGTAATACAACTGTCTTAACATGTGATATGTCAGGAAACCAACTACAAAAACTTCCCGCCAAACTGGCAATTCAGTTTTGTGACATGTCAGGTAGGTATAAACAGAACAGGAAAATTGGTCACAGTGAGATTTACTGTACTCTACAAGTGCACTCAAAACAGATACTATATTATTATTAGAAGTTGCCCTCCATTTCAATACACCTGGGACCTGAAAATTTGAGGTGGTCTCAGGGATTTGGTCATTCATTCAATTATTTCATATAAATTCCATAGAAATTATACAATCAGAATTAAAGTAGTAATAACAATAATAATAGAAAGAATTTTAATTATTATACTGCATATAGCGCCCGAGATCACAGATCGCTCTACAGTATGGTAATAAACTATCCCCTAATGGACACAATCCCATATTTCTGAGTCTAGGGTTTGGGATCAGGATAATAATAATAATAATTTTTTTTTTCATTTGTAAAATTTGATTAAATAACAGTTTAATTTTACAATTAATGTGATTAAATATTTGTTTAGGTTGTAAAGCTTACCTTATCCTACCTATATACTTCTCAGTGAAGGGTGACAAATGTAGCTAAAGTGTCTCGCAAAGGAAGAATGGGATTAAAACTCAACATTCGTATTGAGAGTCTGAACTCCAACTTCGAGCCTCTATTCTTGTTTGCTGCGATCTTAGTATTCTGAAGACTGCTAAAATTAGGGGTCATATGTTGGAAGGATCCAATTCCAGGCGATCTGTTTAAATTTGCTTTCTTAATACACCTAATAATGATTCAAATTCTCTTTATTGCATGGCAGTTTCATTGCGTACGTAATCGCGACATTAAGTATTTAGAACATAAACAAAACATAAATAAGTTTACCGTATAGGATTCTATTTACTACTGTAAATGACTTTGAATAACCTTATTTTCTGAACAATTGCCGTTGAATTTTAAATATACAGCGCCCTCGTGCCAATATATAATAATCGTAAAAATAAATAAACTTTTGTATGTAACTTTTGAATATAATTTTTTAGAGTTAATTTGCACAGCTACCCTAAGAAATAATTATGTTGTTATTAGTTGTTTACGTATGTTATAACATGTTTTTGTTAGGATGTAAGACCTATAATCATTTTTTTTATAAAACTTTTTCTTTAACCTATTTTTTGCCTCTATATCAGGCCTATTATTATTATTATTATTATTATTATTATTATTATTATTATTATTAATATTATTAAATTATGTCAATAAATCAAAACCATTAATTTACTTCAATAATTCATTATCCATCCTTATTCTGTTTTATTGAAATGTTGTGAACAGATACGTTTATTATTATAAACTTATAGTGAAAAATTAATTGTATTTTTTTCATTTTCATAAACCACACCAGTGTGTAACTGATGATGTAAACATTAATTAAAATTATTTTTAATGTTGTCACTATAGTCATAAATAAATTGACACAGCTGACAAAACAGTTGACCCTATTAATGAAAATATTTTTTTAAAATTTTTATTTATTTAATTCTCAACCAACAGGACATGTCTTCGCTAAAAAATATAAAAACCTACTTTGTATTCTATCAATACAGTGGGCCTGACTAGGAGAGATCGAGTTTACAATAACAGAACAATACTCTAGGTGCGGACGAATAATCGTTTTATACAAGCTAACAGAGCATGCTCATTATTCATAAACCTACAATTTCTCCAAATCATATCCATCATTCAACTAGTATTTGACACAACATATTTAACGTGGTAACAGAAATTTAACTTACTGTCAATTAACACTTAAAATAATGTACTCTTGTTTTGGGGTGCAATAACATTATAGCTTATCAAGCTAGGCCTGTATAAAATAATGATACACTAATGTTTATATATGATAAAAATTGCAAATGAATGTAATTCATCCATTGATTAATTATAGACACTCATAGGCCTACTAATACTAAAATAGGCACAGTAAAAATGTTGGCCTAAAACAACTCATCACATATGCATACATATTAGGTCTAATATCAAACTAGGTTTTACATCCTAACAAAACAGCCTGTAGATGAAATTAGACACACTAAGCATTCCAAAACACCCCCTGAAAATTATTACATGTGTCGGTAACTAATTTAATTATTGATACTATTTTATCCTTCAAAAAGACCATATTTTATATTTAAAAAAAGTTGCAATTTCAAACAATTACAAATTTGGATTTTCTTTCGATCACTCAATATGCCACACAATATTATGAAGAACAACAACGTAGGTGAACCTCCTTATGTTTATTCATGATTTAAAGTTGTTCTTGAATTCTAATGGGCTTGCAAAGGATAGATGATTTATTAGCCGTAAGAAAAAAAAAATCCAGATTCGTATCACAAGTACTAATTCTACTTGGTTATGCAATAGAGGGTGCATGACTTTATGTCGTTATGAAATGGCTGTGTATGTAAATTCACAACATTTCTCCCTATCGATAGGCATAGATAGAAATGGGTTGAAGGGCCAAAGTGATTTTTTAACACAGAGCCACAAACAAAAATTTTAAATTATGCATTTTTGTGCTTATATAATAATCCTACATTCTCTGCTGGTTTTGGGGGGGGGGGGTTGTGTGAAACAGCCAGTGGAACTAATTTGCCACCACTGGGGGTGCATCCCTTGCACCCAAAGCCTATGACCATGAGATAATCCTGGTGGGCTGTATCAACAAGGGTTTTTCTAGCCAAATACAGTCTGCCCTCCAATTCGAGACCACTCTGTATATCTGAAATTTTGGGTGGTTTCGGGTTCAGTCTCAAATTGGAAACCTCTATAGAGACCGCAGGCTTGAAGTGGTCTCCAAGCAGCATAATTGGAGGGTAACTGAACTTGAAACCTCTAAATGAAAACCAAAGATAAAAGTCGTCTCCAAAAGACAACATGGAACAACCATTTATTTATTTCAAAGAAACTTTTGTTTGCTTTTAAATTTTTGAACTTGAAGCTGAAAACACATTGAAACAAAACAGGCATACAGTAAAGTAAATAAAATATTGACACTTTATTTGACTAAAGTTAGGTTTAAATATGCAAGTGTCCATCCTTTACATAAGATAGATGTTATTTCCTTTTGTGTTACTTGGCCTTTCCTTATATTCCAAATCTGCAATATGCAATTCTCCAATGAGTTTGAAAGTTCCTGATGGCCTTGATATAGTTGGGATAGAAGCACCGTAGCTAGACTTGTTAATCGTGTTGGAGGGGGCGCGAACAGGTATGGAAGGGCCACAGCCACCTCAGTAATGCCATTGTTGGAGCTGAATTTGAGTGGCCCTGCCCCCTCCCCTTTTGGCTACGTGGCTGGATCCACTTCTTTTCACATCAAAGCAAATACCAACAGGGAAACACTCAGATGACACTCTCCTTACAAATCTTTGGATGATACCAGTATGTCAGGTGTTTCATCTTGACTAGATTTCCCCAATATTTTCCCCTAATAATTGTTTTTGTTACTATAAAATAATAATTTTTGCTTTTAGTTTTAATTATTTATATATCTTTATTTTAGCGGGGGACCAAACATTTAGCAGGGGTATCTTCCCCCCCCCCCACTTGGCTATGAGGCCTTGGCATAGTGCAGTAATTGAATAAAGAAGAAATCAAAACATAGGACTCTATCGAATTATGGATAAGCAGCGGATTCAACAGCACTTTTTGGCAATATGTGCCAACAGATTGTTGTAAAACATTTACTGAATATTTTTTGACAGCCTGTGGCCTAAAACTTAATTCTGAAAAAAAAATGCTTTTTCAAAGATAATACACTTAAGAAACATTTATTTATATGGATATATTTATGAAAATACATCTGTTACACCTGGTATCCTTATCATACATGAGCACCTTTAACTCAGCAGTGGAGAGACTGGTCTCATTTCACAAAGAGTCAATGTATGTAGTAGCTGGTCTTCCTCTACTGCGCTTCCAATGTCGAGGTTCCCAAAACAAAACATCCCTGATGATATCTTCTTTGGCTCGGTGACAGTGTCCAGCAAATCTCAATCTACGATCACTAATGTCTGAGCTTATTTTAGGAAGTTCTCCATTGAGTTGCCTGGTTGTTAAATGCTGTCTCCAGTTAATACTGAGAGCATGGCGTAGAAGACGTGTATAACATCCGTCTAGACGTTTTTCCAGAGTCTTATTTAAAGTCCATGATTCTGCGCCATAGAGGAGGACAGTTTCCACAATTGCTTTGAAGAACGCAATCTTTAGTGATCTTGATAGGCTGGAGTTCCAGATTTTGACCAGCTTGTTGGCTGCCTTCCATGCACAACCTTGTCGTACTTCGATGTCCTTGGCAGTAGTTGTAATGTAGGATCCCAGGTATTTAAAATTATTTACAGATTTCAGGGTTTGACCAATAATAGAAAGATTAAATGACAACATACCTGTTTGAAGTTTGATCACTATTTTATGAATAATGGTGAGTGAGATGTAAACTGAGATCCCGATGCACACGCGCAGAAAACAGACACTCCATACTTGAAAGAGAAGACACGGATCCAGAGACATACCACTATTTACAGCGGTATGTAAAAACTTGCACAATATTGTTTGAAATTCTGTATTTAAATATGGGAGGGTGAGGAGGACAGTTTACATCTTACTCACCATTATTCATAAAATAGTGATCAAACTTCAAACAGGTATGTTCTCATTTAATCTTTCTATTTTATTTCTTAATACGTTCGCTGTAAACTGAGACGTTTAAAGCTGTCTCTGGAAACGTGACTTCCAAGTTAAATGATTCAACAAAAAAATCAGCGAATTGTGCAATCTTTTATTTTAACACACTGTAAATATCTCCAAACCAACATATCCAACAAACTACAATGTATACCTGCCAACACATTAATTACGGTCTAAATCAAGTCCTACTTCAACAATTTAGTACCTGTCCAATTGGTTTATCATAGTATCTCCTAAAAGTATTTTCATTTGCCCAGCCTGCAGTAGCCATGATATCAGAAATGGGAACTTGTAATGCTTTTGCAGATGAGGAAGCTGCTGCCCTAGTTGAATGTGCTCTATA